AAAGCAAAATACGCATAGGAGATTCCATATTTTGGGATGAATTTAAAATGTGGGGGATATAATCCACTTGAAAAAGTTGAAAGGAAAGAATTACTATTGTTGGTGAATTTAGACTATGAACCGACCATTCAACTCGAGGATATATCAATTATTGAAGAAGAGCATTAAGACGATGACAAACTAATTAAAAAGGAACTAAGCGAAAAAGTGACAATTAATGATGATGAAATTAACACACATTCTTATGATATTATCGATTGTTCAACACTTGAATTTGTGATTAAGTTCGGAGAGGAAGAATTCTACATAGTTGATTTCAAATCGGATAGAAAATGCAAGTCATATCGCATTGAATGAGGCAAAGTTAAGATTTGAAGAATCAACGAAAATGGATCAAAGTCAAAGAAGCAAACTAAGCTAGGTATCAAAAGCTTTCTTCAGAATTCCATGATGCAAAACATCAAAGTTAAGCTAATGACTATAACATGCACTTATTGGGAGGCAACCCAATTTTCTTTATTTTAATTTATTTTGCTTTTTAGATATATGATTAGAAATTTTTATTGTTTTTAGTAGTATATAGTATCTTCATTTCCATATTTGCATTTATGTTGTGTTTGAGCATATTATAAAGTGTTTCATGTCATAATTGTTTTTCTAATTATTTTAAAGGAACATAATACTGGATATGAGAAAAGAAATAGCAAGTGAACCAAACTTTCATGTCAGTCCATTTATTTTTTATTTGTTTGTACTTGTGTGAATTGGATATTTTGCCTATTATGATGCATATATTTGGAACTATATGTTAAATTATAAATAGTGGAAAAGTTACATGCCAGGATTGATTTATGCTTATTCATGTGAAACTTGATATTTTTGTGCACAAGATTTATATTTTGTATCATGAAAGAATAATTTGATTCAAAATTTGAATAGGTTAAAAAAAAAATTAATTAGTGGACCTTAGATACTAAATTCAAATAACTACTTGACTATACATCATTAAACCAATTGTATGATAATTTGGGGTGATCGAGCTTTTGTATGGGAGACATTGAGATAGATGCTGATTTCATGTGTGCTAAATTTTGAGTAGATTGTCTAAAGCCAATAAGATGAAAATTATATAAAAAATATTAAATTAGAGGTTGATTTTGAGAATATGTGTTTAACAAGTGACATTGCACTAATCATTGTACAAAAAAGTGAAAAGAAAAAATATTGTCTTATTATAAAACTTCTATTCGTAGATTTTAGAACTCAAGTGATTAAACTTGTAAAGGTATCTAAAATCTGGTATTCTATAGTCATTTGACTTGGGAGTTATCGGCTCAAAACTCGCTACAAGAGTTATTTAGAAAGCTTAATGGAGAGAAATCCTTATATAAAATGAAAAACAAAAAATAAAAATAAAAATTAAATGTACCAATTTTAAGCCACACACTTATTTGAGAGAATTTAAACATTTGACAATGGATTATTAACTTATGGTGCGTTTGATTGCGAGTATGGAATTTGTATGGAAAGAAAATAAATTATAGTCAATTGAATTGTCTAGAGATTATTTGTATAGAAATTATTAATTAAATGTGTTTAATTGATTTAGTTTTCAATCTAGAAAATATTATACTTGTTCATTTTTTATTGGTGGATAGATGAGAGAAGAGATAAATGTGAGGGATAGAGTGATAGTGAATTACCATAAAAATAAAAACCACCTGACCCTAAAGAAAATACTTGGCTTGTTTTCAAAGAAAATATGGTCACCTGACCAAATGTAGGAAAATATTTTATGTGGTTGTCAATTAAACAACACAAAAGTAGGAAATTAGGTGAAAAAACACATTTTTTTATGGAAAGTATTATCAATCAAACGTACCCTTAGTTGATTTTTGGAGGTTGAAGCAATAAAAAATCAGAAGAATCATCATTTGTTGATGTATTGAATTGAAATTGGTAAGATCTAATCAACTATAGAGAGTGGGGATTAATATATAAATTCAACCTTAGATCACACCTTGAGGAAAAGTTGAATGAATGAGTTTGGGGGTGTGGATCTCACGAGAGAAGAAATAATAAATTTGATTATCGAGGGTCTGAATTTGAACCTCTTTTTGAATTTATGATGCTTGACATGAATTTTCACACATACACGTCGATTTTGCATTGGATAAGTAGAAATTAATTTACCATTGTGGTTTTGTAGAAGTTCATAGTTTTAATACATATATTTCAATCCTGAAATTTAAGACAAATTATCAAACTATGTCTGTTTAA